GCACACTACCGCAGCTGCATTTGTCGCGCATATGGCAAGGACCAAAATCCACGAGGCCGAGTGTGCAGTTTCTCTCCTGACATTTAAGGGCTAGTCTTGTCCAGTCTAGAGCTTATTGTCGCAGACCGCAATGCCAATGGAACAAACGAGTATAGCCCGAATTCAATTCTTAAACTGTGAATAGATCGGAAGTTCTGCTTACCTGCATGCTCCAAATGCATCTTAGTTTCTGGTCTAAAAATCTGCACATACTGCTTGACGTGAGGAGCGAAATCTTTGACTGCCCATGAGCGTAAAATAGTGTGCTCATCCTGAAAATTATCACTAATTTGAGAACATTTTCCATGGAAAAGTGAACGTTAAGCCGATACCGTTGAAATTTTCTTATCCTGATGGCGAGCAGAAAGAATGAAGCAAGCTTGCGCATCTCCAAGGCGGGCTCTGAAACTTATCACCTTGTTTTACAGAAAATAGAGAATTTGTGCCTGAATAAGAACTGTCAAGGCTACCTTTCAAGATTTTCGTCACGAAGAACAGTTCCTCTCACGTAGTGAACACGTTCACTGTACAACGGAAATTTCAGTAGTAGGCGAGTTGGATCATCTAATTCGGCGGGTGAAAGAAGGACCACATGCACTCGCTGGAATACGGCTGGCGATTTGAAGGCAATTATTTAGTAGAGGATATCTTGATTAGCCGTGCGATGTAAATATGCCTAGTAGATGCCTAGTAGAAAATGATACATGGTCCCAGGCGTTATATGGCACGTTTTACTGCGATGGCGCGCTGCACCCAAAGCGACCTAGCAGAAACTAACTTCTTCAATGCTCCTCCCCTAGAACCGTCCGCCTGCAAACGGCAGCACCCACCAAGAATTAATGGGAACATATCGGATGTTCCCACTTCTTCTGCTGCTGACGAGCAGTTTTCTTTCCACCAGGCTCAATTCTTAGGAGATAAGTCGTTGTTACCCTTACATGTGGGGTAAGCACCCATTTATCCCACTACCCTCTTTTTTGAATACGAAATCACAGCCCCCTCTGTCTCGAAAGTTGTGAGATCAAACTCAGCAGTCGCTTTTGTTCTGGCTTATAGAATGACGTGTGGGCCGCCGATGCTCGAGGCCGTGTTCCTACCACTCAGACAAAGCTGGAGCCAGTAAGAACTGTCTGCATTTTATATGGTAGTGATTGCGCCTCTTAGTAAGCCAAGTTTTCTCACTATCCAGGAAGATGTATGATTTGGCTGACCCCCTCTGCCTTGGTGGCATGGAACAAGATTACTGCATTGATTAACCCTTTTCAGGAGCTTTCGGTTCCATTTAGCACTACGTGGCATACGGGACCAGTAGCAGGAGAGTCATGCGTTAACTTTCAGGAGACAGCCTATGCCCAAGTCATTAATTTCATTCTCCTAGAGAAACCGGGACAAAATGGTGCACCCAGGGCAAATAGAAGGCTTGGATGACTTAGGCGGAGTTCCATGTGAAAGTTTCCTAATCCTGCACAAAGCTACCCTGGCCACCTTTCCCTAGGCCACTTCTGCATGCGTTTTCTTTGGGTAAACTTCACAACTCACTTTGTTCTCATGATGTGCGTAGAATTCGTCCAAGAAATCCCTGACAAGTGCCATTTCCAAATGCGTTATCGTAACAACAACGTGTTTTTCATTTTTAGCAAATCCGCCACTGTAGTCACTTCCACATTTCTGCCTTGCAATCCACGTTTGTCCCAATGCTTCAATCTGCAACGAAGATGGGTTATCGAAGGCTTGATTCTCTCATTAAAGTTCATCAGTACCTGCGAGGGGAGCAAGACCAATGCTACGCAAATGAGGATGATGACACAGAGTCGTGACATCCAAGTGTCTGGATACCTACAAATACAGAAGACACAGTAATACTCACAATTATGAAGGGGTAAATGTAAGCCACCAAACATTAATGTGATCAAATTCTAGCAACGACAAATTTGGAAACAGTTGTTATCCTGCTACTGGTTGCCGATTTTAGCCAACCCACGGAAGAAAGGGAATGCAGTTCATATCGAGGCATAGAAGGGGGAGTGTCTAGCTGTTCTCATAACCGTGTTCTCACAAAGTGAGAACAGCAGAGATATACGTTGCCGACGTCAGGTAAGAAATGTGGACAGCATGTGCACAAAGAGACATGGACGGCAAATAATAATCTCTAATCATTCTGCCTACCGCCCCGCGCCCTGAATCAAGTCCGCTTACACGCCCTCTCCAACGTCAGGACGCAATGAGGTACCTCTTCACTTTCGAGGGCATGTGCCACGATAATTTGG